CTCAGCCACCCATCGTAACAGTACAGCTGAAATAACTTGTTGAATGACATTGAATAGAGGTGTTAAAGCAATGGATATCATGAGAAAAATGTGTTTTTGAACATTAAAGCATGTATGGTGTCTGAACAATAATGCTGCGCTGATGTATTGAGTCAAATGCACATATATTATACACCACACAAACATTAGGCTGACACAAATGCTCTTAACAGTATCACAAATCCTGTCCTCACAGAAGCAAATACATCAGCTAAACTACAGCCGGACCCTGACCTCTGACCTCTCAGCAGTTTTCAGTCCCAGCAGTAGATATTGTACTTGTATCACAGAAGCAGTATTTCTAGTAGTAGCACTATTAGAAGTGACAATAATTACAAACTTTGTGTTTAACAGCTTTTAAAACAAAGTTAAAAGTTGTTACAGGTGCAAATGAGTAAAAAGGCCTTTAAAGAAAAGTGTTTGGAAGCCAAAGTCTGTTTGAAGAAGAGCTTTAATAGCAGACACCATCTGTGGCAGCCTGAGGTTCTGGAGCTTCTGGTCCCCCTTTGTTAGGAACCAGGACTGAGGAACAGAGTGAAGGGCCCCGCCCGGGGATCTCAAGCTGCATTCTGCCTCATTATAGACCAACATGTCCAAAATATGGCAGTGTACCAATGTGATCCACACTGCTGCTTCATGACGTCTTGTCACGCCCCCCCTGCTGCGACCTAACCCTGACTTGTGGAAGACTGCCTTGTGTTTTTTTTCCCTGGTTGTGGCTGCGGTTTTTGGTTTCCGGCCCTTTTCCCCTTTCTCTCTCACCTGCAGGTTGCTGGGAGTCGTGTCAGCTGCGAGGAGCTGATTACACACCTGCACGTGATTTGCACTCCCTCGGGTTCCTGCCCTACTTAAGCAGCGGCCTGACGTCCTGTCCTCGCCGGATTGTTAAGTCGTCTCTGTACGTCTTGGCTACCAGCTCGTTTGGTTAGGAACCATACCTGTACTCTGTTTGTTAAGCTGACAACTAACCTGTTTTTCCTGTACTCAGGATCTCTACCGGACCCGTCCGTGACCAACTCACCTTCCCCGTGTCCTGGATCTCACTCTCCTACCTGTTACCTGTTTGCCTCTCTGCCTGGACCCCATCAGCTTCCTTCGCCTGCCTGCTCTGCCTGCCCCGATCCCCGCAGCCACCGCCAGCTCCTTGACTCAATAAATCTCTGAGAACCAGCTCTTGTCTCCAGTCTATTCCTGGGTCTTATCTGAAGCGTGACACGTCTTTTAGTGCTGAGTTGGGCCCGTATCTGGACGTATTTATCAAGCTTCTCAGAATTACTCATAAGAACACTGCTAAGCAGGGACGTGCACAGGGGGGTTGCTCTGGTTGCCCGGGCAACTGCCCGTTTGCCTTTCCTGACTCAAGTTGCCCTTCCAACTCGCCCTTCCGAGAAAAAAAAATAAAATAAAAAAATAATCGCGATCGCAAAGCCTCATTCACTTCCATTCGGGCACCGAAAGTGAAAGTCAGTAGGGGAAGGGCAAACTCTGTTTAAGTGGCTGCACTGCTGCAGCGCTGCCTGCACGTCAGTCGATTCTGTTCCCTACCGGAATTCCTGTTTCCTTCCTTTATGCAATCATACTACAACAAATCATGCGTAGTTTTGCCCAGTTACCATACGTGATACGTACCAACAGAAGTGAATACGAGCTAGAAGCGCAACTGAATGTACGGGAAGCCAAAAGGTTAAAAAAGGATTGTATTTTTTTCCGAAATCTAAGCGTTTTTTTTATTTAATATTTTATTAGAAGCGAGTTTTCCCCATCTGTCAATTCAATCTAGATTATTTATTTTCAAATAAAAAAAAAAAAAGGAAAAAAAAAAATAATAATAATGATTAAAAAAAACAATAAACAATAATATAAGGAACTCTTTTTTCATGAGTCGAGTCATGTTTTTCTGTTTTGTTATTAATAGTAGTTTAGGTTATTGAGTGCTGTATTTAAGTGTTTTTACTTTTTGTATATTTTTTAATAAAAAAATGTTTTTTCTCTGTCCTTCATATAGCCCATGTTTTTTGTTTGTTTTTTTTTTTTTGGGGGGGGTGCCTTTTTTCAGGTCAGAGCAACTGCCCTTCAAAATTCCTGTGCACGTCCCTGCTGCTAAGAACTGACTTAAGACTAAAAAAAATCTTGGCTCAAAGCTGAGCTTAAAAGTTAGTTATCAAGCATCATTGTCCTACTTTGAGTGAAGTGCAGGACTAAATCTTAAGTGTCAGTCTTAGTGATTTACGACACTTTGCTGTGCTGCAAACAGGATTTTGGATGATGATGTAGCCAAGGACCAATCACTGAATAATTTCCTTATTTAAGAATCTTCTCAGATAAATTCACATTGAATGGTGAAATTCTAAAGAGTTTATATTCAACACACTTAACAATAAAGAATTTTTAAGAGAATACATTATGATATAGGCCCACACATTAATAAATGAAAGATAAAAAAGTTTATCTTTCTTCTGCTCCTGTGAGGCTGGCTATTTGCATGAACTGTCTGCTTCTGTCGGATTACGGGGGGTGTTGTTGGGAAGTCGATGAAACGCGTGACAATGATTGCCAGAATTGTTTCCCTGACTATTCGGCTTATTGATGGTTGTGACGGGCCAAAATCATCAGCATTGCTGCGCATGTCCTGTGGCAAAGAAACAAAGCGTCATCACCACCTTCAATTTAAGTGAAAATGCATTACTGCGTAAAGTCTGTGGTAAGGTGACGTCCCTCACCAACTCGCTGACAAAGTTTATGCCTGCGCTGTCCGACCGCATCTTATTAACTGCATGTCGTCAAATAATCCAGAAATTCTTTCTCTCCTGAAATATTCATGCATGTCTCTGTCTCCACAGCGCCATCTCAAGCCCTACTGGCAGCTCCTAACCACTTGAGAGACCTCTGGAGCTTCTTAAATAACTGGGAGAGTCAGTGATTCTTAGCTTTAAGAAATTTGATAACTGGCTTTTATTAAGTTTAAAAGTAGGAGTAAATTTCATGAATTCTCAGCATTTAAGACTAAAATGGCACTTTGAGAAGCTTGATGAATACCGGCCCTGATCTGATTTAGTTCATCAGATGGTTAGTTAGCAGCATCTAGTGGACAGGTAGCAGAACTACATCATTAGATGTGTGATTCCTCTAACATTCACTGGGTTTCTGCCACAGGTTAGACCGGTTTTGACGTCATTCTGATGTTTTTTAGACTCTGAAGTTATGAGGCTGTGACGGCGTCCTCAGATCAGATGCACACAGACACCAGGACTGACGAGGAAGAAATGAGCAGCTTCTTCTCTCCCAGTGTTTCCTCCACACATGAAGGTGCAAAGTGTCTGTAAGTCGACCTGAAGTGAGTTCAGCAGGTGAGAATCCGACCAGAGGAATCTGTAAATGTCTGATAATCAGGATCACTTTGATCACATTGTGCTGGATCACTGTTTAACTGGACAGTAGAAATGCTTCTTGATGCTGATTGGCTGTTTCTAAATATCTCTTTGAAATCTGCTGTAGAATTTCTCTCCGAGTTAAAGAACAATGATTTCAGAAAGATTTCCCTGTAATATTGTTCATGTTTCTCAAGTAGAATCAGCAGCAGTCTGATTGTAGTCTGAGCTCACATCATCAGTGAAACATGCAGGGTGTGTCTGAACTGGTCTGACAGCTTGGATCCACTTGGCTCAGGTTTCTGGTTTAACTGTTAATACTCTGAAGTTAAGTGCATGGATGAAGAGTTCAGGGCTCAAATACAGACATCTTCCAACACTGAGACGGACTTGGTTTCACTGAAGACCCTTTAGAACAGTCCAGGGGCCTCATGTATAAAAGCCATCTGTCAGCCATCGGTGATGGCATTGTGATTGTAAAACCCCGTCCCCCTGTCAAAAACAAAATCTAAATTTTTCACATTATACCGCTATGTGAAAGCAGGTTTTAATCACAACGAACATTATTATTAAAGAGGCCTACACCTCAGGTAAACACACCGGCTAATACCGGGGAAAGGCAGCCTGCAGTTGGCACTTGGCTTATTTTATTTCTTTTCCAATTGAAAGGTGCAGTATGGAATAGTTATGGCTGACTAGTGCGAGCACAAATAACACTGCTGGTTTGAATGTTTACATGATAAAGTGGTAACATGTGAAATGAAGTGAAATTAAATATGTGAAAGTCATCATGATCTATTTTTCTCACATTCAATTTTATTTTGATATTAAACCACTACATACATGATCAAACCTTTGTCAAAAGACATAATTAGGATTTTGATAGACTACTCCATTGACATCTGCACAGTAATTGCAGTGGAAACACTATTTTGAAACATTTGGTGAGTTTTGGCACTTTAGCAGTTTACTGACAGCCAGACAAAAGTTTGTGGAGGGACTTCACATTCTCACATCACGTTCATTTTTATACATCCCACGTGTGCGTGAAAACCAGCGTACGTAACCTTTTTATACGTAGGCAGCGTTTATACATGAGGCCCCAGGTCTCAGCTGTACCAGAGGCTCCAGGATCCTTTCTAGATGGACCAGAGCCAGCCCAGGGTGGAGGGGAACTTAGAGGTTGATTAGGGCCCCTCAGCCATCAGGGGCCCTCACAGGAATAGAGAAGGACCAAAGTAAAATCAGCCATCCTGTGTCTCTCTGGTCATGATTTAAACATTTAAAGACAGAAATAAAGATTTAAAGACACAGACCTTGAGGAGAACTAAAGTGTCCTGAGATGTAAAGCTTGTTGTAATGAATGAGTGCAGCTCTCTCAGCATGTTGTTGTGTTTGTGTGAAGGTGTGGGCTCTGCTATGAATCAGTGTGAGGACAGAGAGGAGGGAGTCCCTCCCTCTAAAAGCACTCTGTGTGGGGAACATGACAGCCAGACCAAAGCTCAGAGGTGAGATGAGGATCTCTAACTGTCCAGGACTCAAATCACTCCACCATCATTATTCACTCTCAAAGCTCTGTGTGTGTTGTGTTGAAGCCCAGAGCAGCAGCAGGGACCAGACTCTGCTGGACCTGGACCTGGACCTGGATCCAGCTGTGTGTCCATCAAGAGTGACTGGTCTATGGACAAACCTATTGTCTTCAAAGGTGGACACCACTCTGCTGGACCTGGACCTGGACCCAGCTGTGTGTCCATCAAGAGTGACTGGTCTATGGACAAACCTATTGTCTTCAAAGGTGGACACCACTCTGCTGATCAAAGGTCAGCATGTTAAATGTTTGTGTCTCTCCTGAGATGAGGTTTGGTGTCTTTGTTTTGATCACTTCATGTTCTTAACTCTTCACTTTTTTCAAACTGGTCTCACATTTTGCAGATCTTAGTCCAAATATCAAAACCACGGTTAAAATCCACAAACAGCTGGATGCAGGTTTGAGAATGTATAAGATCATTGTCTATGGAGCCTCCTCTTGCTCAATGGAGGTGAATGAAGTTTAGTTTTGAGCTACTAACAGTAAAGATGCAGCTGGACAGATAAACAACAACTGAAAGTCTCTATAAAACTCTGTATCGCTGACAAACTGCAGATTCAGCTGAAAACTCACTATCAGAGACACCAACACATAAATATATCTATTAAATCTGCTTTGAGGACACATCTGATTTGTTATTTCATTGTTCAGGATCCATCGGCAGAGACCAGATTCTCCTGGACCCAGCTGTGTGTCCATGAACAGCGACCGTCATGTCCCTGTTCACTTCAAAGCTGGACATAATGATGCTGAACAAAAGTAAGAATCTTAAATGTTTGTGTTGTTTTGTTGACTCTCCTAAAAAGAGCTCTCAGGTAGGTCTTGGTTCAGCACTGTTTTTTGTTAATTAAAAATAATAATAGACTCTTTATTTATTCCCAGAGGGAAATTCTCATGTCACATCAGCAGCACAGAAATGAACCAGGTTCAAAGAACAGTGCAAAACAAATGGCAAACACATGAGAAAGTAAAAATATTAAAAGTATGAGCATGCCCTTTTGTCTGCTGCTTACTGTAACTGTAAGTCCAGTTAGAGTCCAGTAGGACCTCAGCAGCCTCCTCGTCCGCTGATGTCCACTGAGACACAGCTGGATGAGTAAAACAGCAGCATTTTCTCCTGTCCAGTCTACCCTGCACCCAGCGGTGTTTCCATGGAAAGTGACCAGATCATACATTTTTATACCAAGATCTGGTATAGGTGTATGAGGATCTGTTTCTACCAGATATAACACAGCACATGTAACACTGTTTGTCATTATATGTTCAAATCATCATATTTCTTCACAGAGTTGATCAGCAGAGCTCAGAGGTTCCCAGTGGTCAGTCTGCCCAGCAGCATCAAACAGACCTGGACTCCATATTTATGGTGTGTAAATGTACAAGCTCAGCTACTACTGCTAATTACAGGAGCCACAAAGTAAATAGTGAAGCAGCATTCTGATCCAGTCTCCATGCTGCACTCTGCAGACCAGCAGGCTTTCTGTCTGTCACAGATGATCTGATGTTGACTTCTACCAGTTCAACTTTACATTTTCTTCTGTTCCAGCTGCTCCAGGAAAACATTGGCAGGTTTGTGAAGAACGAGGTGAAGAAGTTCCAGAGAGTTCTCAGTCCAGATTACCCAGAATGCTTAGAGAGTCAGAGGGAGGATGAGGAGGTGTTGGACGGTGAGGAGGAGGAGCAGAGGAGGAGCAGCAGAGAGGCATTTCTGAAGATCACACTGCACTTCCTGAGGAGAATGAAGCAGGAGGAGCTGGCTGAGCGTCTGCAGAGCAGTAAGAGGATTTGAACAGATTTAACATGATGGAAAGAGGAAATGGAGGCAACATGGGAGAAGTTTCCATTTCAAACTCTGCTGTTAATATGATGCACACATTTGGATCAGATCTATGAATTCTTCTGGGCTGAAACTCAGAAACTGTTCACAGCTGATGAGCTGAAGAGATTTCATGGAGGAGGAAAATAAATACCATCTTGATGTCTTAAAGTTTACATTTATCAGATTTACTGTAGCATCCACTTATTAATCACATTTCTTCTTTCTTCATTCAGGAACTGTTGCTGCAGTGTGCCGACGTAAACTCAAGTCTAACCTGAAGAAGAAGTTCCAGTGTGTGTTTGAGGGGATTGCTAAAGCAGGAAACCCAACCCTTCTGAACCAGATCTACACAGAGCTCTACATCACAGAGGGAGGGACTGCAGAGGTCAATGATGAACATGAGGTCAGACAGATTGAAACAGCATCCAGGAAACCAGCCAGACCAAAAACAACCATCAGACAAGAAGACATCTTTAAAGCCTCACCTGGAAGAGATGAACCAATCAGAACAGTGATGACAAAGGGAGTGGCTGGCATTGGGAAAACAGTCTTAACACAGAAGTTCACTCTGGACTGGGCTGAAGACAAAGCCAACCAGGACATACAGTTCACATTTCCATTCACTTTCAGAGAGCTGAATGTGCTGAAAGAGAAAAAGTACAGCTTGGTGGAACTTGTTCATCACTTCTTTACTGAAACCAAAGCAGCAGGAATCTGCAGCTTTGAAGAGTTCCAGGTTGTGTTCATCTTTGACGGTCTGGATGAGTGTCGACTTCCTCTGGACTTCCACAACAATGAGGTCCTGACTGATGTTACAGAGTCCACCTCAGTGGATGTGCTGCTGACAAACCTCATCAGGGGGAACCTGCTTCCCTCTGCTCGCCTCTGGATAACCACACGACCTGCAGCAGCCAATCAGATCCCTCCTGAGTGTGTTGACATGGTGACAGAGGTCAGAGGGTTCACTGCCCACAGAAGGAGGAGTACTTCAGGAAGAGGTTCAGAGATGAGGAGCAGGCCAGCAGAATCATCTCCCACATCAAGACATCACGAAGCCTCCACATCATGTGCCACATCCCAGTCTTCTGCTGGATCACTGCTACAGTTCTGGAGGAGGTGTTGAAGACCAGAGCGGGAGGAGAGCTGCCCAAGACCCTGACTGAGATGTACATCCACTTCCTGGTGGTTCAGTCCAAACTGAAGAACACCAAGTATGATGTAGGCGCTGAGACAGATCAGCACTGGAGTCCAAAGAGCAGGAAGATGATTGAGTCTCTGGGAAAACTGGCTTTTGAGCAGCTGCAGAAAGGAAACCTGATCTTCTATGAATCAGACCTGACAGAGTGTGGCATCGATATCAGAGCAGCCTCAGTGTACTCAGGAGTGTTCACACAGATCTTTAAAGAGGAGAGAGGGCTGTACCAGGACAAGGTGTTCTGCTTCGTCCATCTGAGTGTTCAGGAGTTTCTGGCTGCTCTTCATGTCCATCTGACCTTCATCAACTCTGGTGTCAATCTGCTGGCAGAAGAACAATCAACCTCCCGGCTGTCTAAAGTCTTCAGAGACAAACTTAAACTAACACATCTCTACCAGAGTGCTGTGGACAAGGCCTTACAGAGTCCAAATGGACACCTGGACTTGTTTCTTCGCTTCCTCCTGGGTCTTTCACTGCAGACCAATCAGACTCTCCTACGAGGTCTGCTGACACAGACAGGAAGTAGCTCACAGACCAACCAGGAAACAGTTGAGTACATCAAGAAGAAGATCAGTGAGAATCTGTCTCCAGAGAGAAGCATCAATCTGTTCCGCTGTCTGAATGAACTGAATGATCGTTCTCTAGTGGAGGAGATCCAACAGTCCCTGAGTTCAGGAAGTCTCTCCACAGATAAACTCTCTCCTGCTCAGTGGTCAGCTCTGGTCTTCATCTTACTGTCATCAGAAAAAGATCTGGATGTGTTTGACCTGAAGAAATACTCTGCTTCAGAGGAGGCTCTTCTGAGGCTGCTGCCAGTGGTCAAAGCCTCCAACAAAGCTCTGTAGGTGGATAAATGGATGTGCAATTTCTAAAACTGTATATTTGACAAATAAATCATTTAGTTTGTGTCCATTGCTAATCCTTTTTCAGGTTGAGTGGCTGTAACCTCTCAGAGAGAAGCTGTGAAGCTCTGTCCTCAGCTCTCAGCTCCCAGTCCTCTAGTCTGAGAGAGCTGGACCTGAGTAACAACAACCTGCAGGATTCAGGAGTGAAGCTGCTGTCTGCTGGACTCGAGAGTCCACACTGTACACTGGAAACTCTCAGGTCAGTAATAAGCTGTTTGTTTTAAATCCTCATCATCTGGTTTTACGTTCATGTTAGTGAAAATGGTTTGTAGGAATTTCCTGCTGGCATGATTTACTAAAACACAGAGTTTATGATGTTTTCCTGATTCCAGGCTGTCAGGCTGTCTGATCACAGAGGAAGGCTGTGCTTCTCTGGCCTCAGCTCTGAGCTCCAACCCCTCCCATCTGAGAGAGCTGGACCTGAGCTACAATCATCCAGGAGACTCAGGGGTGAAGTTGCTGTCTGCTGGATTGGAGGATCCACACTGGAGACTGGACACTCTCAGGTCGGTAAAATAAATTATAAAGCACACACAGCGGCTGTATTATTCAATTTAATTTTTATATTCTGAATTGTCACTTGCCACCTGCATTTTGTGCTTCCGTTTGTATAAAATTTTCACCAGTCTCCAGAATGCAGAAAATTACTAACACACTGAATATTGCATGCTCAATCACCAGACCAGATCAGATCCTCTGTTTCTGACATATAAATTACAGAATACAAGTTGAATCTGGTGGTCAGACTGGTCTGAGAACAGTCTGGAAACAGCTTAGTTGTTCATTATTTGAATGCTGGTCAAACTGTATTTTGGGGGACAACATGCAGAGGACATTCTGGACATTCTCCTCTCATATTATTTGTTTTCTTCATCTTCGTGTTCTTTTTCTTTAGGTCTTTTAATCTCAGACAGTGAAAGAATCTTGGAGATAATTAAGTTTCAGCCTGTTTTTCTGTCACACTGACAAACTGAGGAACACTGCTTCATGTTGAACAGCAGTTAGGACTCATGTTGGATAGAAAATCACTCTGACTGTGTTTCTTCCTCCAGGGTGGACCATGGTGGAGAGCAGAGGTTAAAACCTGATGTGAGGAAGTGTAAGTGTGGATTCAATCTGACTCATGATGACAAAACAGCACACAGTCAGTTTCTCTTAATACAAAGTTGATAGTTGTGGTATTTATTCATTCAAACATTACTGACTAAATGCATCATCATTAAACTTTATAGAAAACAAAGAATAAACCTTCAGATGTGTCTGATGATAAACTGCTGCTGTGTTGTGTCTCGTTCTCTCCATCAGATCTCTGTGAACTCACACTGGACACAAACACAGCACACAGAAACCTCAAACTGTCTGACAACAACAGGAAGGTGACACATGTGAGAGAGAAGCAGCCATATCCTGATCATCCAGAGAGATTTGACCGCTTGCCTCAGCTGCTGTGTAGAAATGGTCTGACTGGTCGCTGTTACTGGGAGGTCGAGTGGAGAGGAAGAGTTGATATATCAGTGAGTTACAGAGGAATCCGAAGGAGAGGAGGCAGTGATGACTGTCTGTTTGGATGGAATGATCAGTCCTGGAGTCTGAGCTGCTCTGATAATGATGGTCTGTCACAATAACAGAATAACAGACCTCCCTCTCTCCTCCTCCTCCTCCTCCTCCTCCTCCTCCTCTAACAGAGTAGCAGTGTATGTGGACTGTCCTGCTGGCTCTCTGTCCTTCTACAGAGTCTCCTCTGACACACTGATCCACCTCCACACCTTCAACACCACATTCACTGAACCTCTTTATCCTGGATTTAGGATCTGGCCTGGTTCCTCAGTGTCTCTGTGTT